ATGGGGCTTTACACCATGTGTGTTTATAAGTTTCTGCAAATAAATCATATTGTTTTGCTTTGATTTTTGACACTACACTCACTGTCCAGATTGTTTCTCTACTCTCACGAGCCTGTCTTAAGTTCTCATTTTTGCCACTTGCTTTTGGAAAGCCAAAAAGAAGACCTTGAGTAGAATACAACCAAAAAAAGGGGAAAACAAGTCTTTCAAAACCAAGTGAGTCAAGACCTTTGAATGGACTGAGAAGCAGGTTTTACTGAATACCTGTGTTTAAAGTTCTTTTTACCAACATGTCTTCTGCAGTTCCCAAAGAACTCAAAGAAAGGAAGCCATGTCAACATCCTTTTCCCTGAGTTGTGAAAACAGTGAGAACATTTAGGATTCCTTGAAATCAGTATAATCCCACAATATTTTATGCAATACATTAGATGACTAAACCTTCATTTTGTTGCCCAGTGGTTTGCACGAATCCTCCTCATTGTTTGGGGGCCTTACCCTCAACACTTGGATCCCATTTCCTTTCTTAGGATTGAGCCTTTGCTGCTTATTAATGTATCAGAATGCTACATCGACTTGGGATTGTTGATCCGTCTTTTCTTAATTGAGTCTCAGGGAAAAGCAAGACCCCCACATTGTATGTATACACATCTCAGTTTTGTTATGCAAGGCCTTCATCAGGACAGAAGCTCACTCCTCCACCCACACATTTTAATTGTTGTGTACTATTGAGGATCTGATAGGAAAGGCTGGTAGCTACGTCTTCTTCTGAAAGCAAAAAAAGCCAAAGGATATTCCTTTAAAATTCTTTCCCACACGTTTCTCAATATTCTCACCAAATCCTATAAAAACCTCTGAAATGTAGCATGTGTAGTGCAAACAGCTTTCCAATAATATTCAGGCATGCACACACATCCACAATGACAACGACACAATGGGTTCTGGAAGGAGACGATAATTTCCATGTATTTGGAAAAGTCTCTCCTTAGTTTTGAAGTACAACAACCAAAAATAATTTACAAGTACTGCTCCACTGAGGAAAATTAGTTTTGGAGAAGTACCTAGTAGGCTGTGAGCCTTCCTCATAGGTACTACAAAGCAAATACAGTGTTTGTAATGCAAGTGTTTTATGGAGAAGCACCAGGAAATTGAATGTTGGATTATTTTCAACACACTGTAGGAATTATAAGCAGTTTCGTAACATCTAGTAGAATGTTACTACATCTAATATGGTAAGTACTATCTATAATAATCAAAGTGAGTGGCGACCATGTAACTATAAAAGTACTTCTGAAACCTTTAGATGATGTTTCTAATATTGGAGATAAAATAAACTAGTCATCCAATCTTTCAGCGTCCTTATTGTAGCCAATAAAGAATAAGGGGCCATAATTAAAACAATTCAGTAACCATAGGAAAAGGACTAGTTAACCGCCATAAAGTAAGAGAGAGTTTTGACAAGATAATTAGGATTTCATGAAGGAAGCATGGTACAAACAACAACATCAACAGTTAAAAGCAGTTCTTGAAAGCACAATGCTGTGGACAGTGAATAGAGAAATGGCCTTTGAGCCTGTAAGGTCAGTCCTTATTGTAATATTTGTAATAAGACTGTGGTGTCTTTCATGAGCTTAGACACAGTATTGCTGGTCTGGCATATTTAGCTCTTGGAGCCCTTTTTCTAGTGACGGTGATACACTGATATTGGCCCGGCCATTCTTTCCTAGATATTTGCAAGACAAGAATCTAGGGATATAGTTTATAATAAAAAAAGAAATAAGACAATTGACCTATGAATTAGGTAATTTGATGCCCAGCCTAACTGCTAGTCAGAATTGAATGCACAAGTGCATGTGACACCGAGACACTGATACTTGCATGCACACCCACCCATGCACACCCACATGCACATACAACATTCAAAAATCTAAAGAAGATGGCATTTGAGAATCCCTTTTATTAAGTAATGGGAAAGTGAACCAAGTCTCCAGTGGGAAAAGGATCTAAGAACAGGGCGGTGACAGAAGCTGTGGTAACCAAAGGTACACACTCATAAATCTGCATGAGGTAGATTAGGAGAAAGTCTTGACTTCAAAGATATGCCCTAGTGCCCTTTGAAGATCAAAGTGGTGGGCTTGTGAAGGGGGTAGCAGAGTAAGGTTAGGAACTGTAGTGAAGATTTTTGCAGTGGTGATTCAAGTCCCTCCTTACTCTGCTCTATCTTTCTCAGATGCCTAAACTTTCCAAATCACAACTCAGGCTACACAAAATATCTGCAGGGTAGGCTTCCCTGCTCTCTTAATGCTGTGCTTACTGACCAGTATAATCCTTGGCCTATAGGGTTTAAAATTTTTTTAAAACTGCCAGTGTAGGACTGAGGCCAGAGCTCTTGGTCATATCTCTTTGGTTTAGTTCTAATTATAGAGAGAACAGGGCCTTTAACTTATGCTTTTATCTGTCTTAATGGGTTTGCATCAACCTTAGTGTAGCAATGTGGATAGCAAGTAGAAGTGAATCACCAGGAGCATTAGCAAGTGAGACAAATGAAGACCAGAGAACAACAAACTGGATCTGAAATGGTTACATCAGAAGGAATAAGACTGTCTTTCTTGAGAAGGAAAATCAGGTAGCAAGGGATGGCTCTGACTCAGTAGGACAGGAAGGGTACAAGACCTGTTAAGTCCTCAAGTTCTTACCTGGATTAAGGTCAGTCACAACCTATTGTCCTTGCCTTGCCAGTTAGAACTAAAGACCATTCTGACAGCCCCCTTAATTCGAGAGTCTTAAAAAATCACCAAGTAAGGTCTTGCAGATGGTACAAAATCAGATGCTTGTCCAAACAAGACCCATCACAGCAACTTTCATAATTATTCCCTTCGCGGGTACTGTTCTAAAGCTGTGGACTTAATACAAACAAGTGAGGAAGAAAGAGCTGAGAAGTCTAGCTTATTAAACAGAATCTCATCTATCCCCACCCCACCCCAGACTTTCATCTCTACCAGGACAAGGATTTTAATGCTGGCATAGACTGTCTAGTCATCTAGCTATGGAATGACTACTGCCGTTAGGGATTCAGACCATGATACTGGCCATTAGATTCTGACCACGCACCCTGGCCACGCTGATTTGCATACAGTTTATGGACAAATGCTCTCCAACCACAGGGCTGGGTGCACTTATTCCCTCAAATAACCTGTGGGGTACAGATGAGGAGACCCCGTTAAAACCTCCCATGGACAGAGCAAGGTCCACTCAGCGAGGAAAGATATTCAGTTTTATTGAACAGCACCCTTAAAACAGAAACTGGAGTCCAATCTCCATGGTGATAGGAAGAAACTCAAGTTTGAACAACACATCTGTGGTTCACAGATAGCATGCCAAAAGGACTGAAAATGCGAAGAAAGGGGAAACAATCATATTTTGAATTAACGGGTACCATGAACCCTGGAGGAAGCAGAACAGCTCAAAGTATTAGAGGGATATTTAGGGTAGAGGAAGTCATGTTATCCATCTAGACGCATCCACCAAAAGCACCGTCAGAGCTGAAATGATATAAAATGACCTTCAGTAAGGATGGGGTCTGTCTCTGCTTGGCATTTGCAGAATGTAGAACTCCCTTCTAAAGATATACATCTCTGTAATGATCATATTGTGTCCTCTCTAGACAGATGCCCAAACCTGCATCTCTTACAGAATTGATTCTTCATGATTTTCCTTTAGGAAAGAAGGTGGAATTTGCTGGTGGTTCTAAAAGGGATGCTAATAAGAAGTTGTTGAGGATCTAAATCATATTGTTTCACTGTGGTATCCTGCAGGACCACTGTCTCCTCATTCCCACTCCTTACACACTTAATTTATACACCCAAAACAACATGTCCTGCCACATTCTCCTTATTCTACTTGTTACAATTACTGGGGACATCTTTGTTGCAGCTTTCTGTTGGGAGGAATCCAGAAATACAGGAAGATAATTAGCAATGCACTCAGCCTGGCTGTCTTCTCATCCTCTCTAGAATGTATGAGGTTTTTATAGGAAACTTGGCACCTTATCAACAGTCTCAGAGACAGGTAGATTATGTGCATTTTACAAAATATGAGGGTGTTTTTTTATTTCTGTTGAAAGGTAGTCGAGACCTTCCTATGTTCAATTACTCACTCCAATTTTCCTTATCTTTGTTCCTGCTTTCCTGTGATGCTGGTCTATGTGTTTATGAAATAATTTGCTGGTGTTTGTTTTGTGATAGTGGCTCAAATGACTCAGAGTATTTCTTGGGCCCTGAGTGTTCCCAGGGCTAACTGTTAGATATGTGAACTTCTGCTGCTTGGTCACAAGGGATTCAAATTGCAAAAAGATGAGATATATATCTACCCTTTAAAAAGATACAACATATATTCTTCAATGTTTTATAGATATATTTAAAAGTTCTATATTTAAATAATATACACAATATATATATGATGTCTCATTATTATCCAGGCACTCATTTACATGGAAACTACATTTCTAAGTTTGTGCTTCAGCCTGTAGCCTCAGAAAGTCCATGATTTACCACAAAACAAAAACCAAACAGAACAGGATTCTTTTATATCTAGTGCCTGAAATAGTGAGATATTTCAGAATCTGTATAATGAAATACCACTCTATCTTGAAATTCCATTTCTCTTGCTTCATTGACCACTCCCAATGCTAGGAATGTGGCTTGTGTAGTGAGACAGAATAAGCATGTGTCAGTAGTAAAACTAAAGCACTCCCCCCATTTTTAACGTGAGGGATCATAAATGCAGGTTGCCAGAAGTGACATTAACCAAAGCCTTCTTTACCTGCATTCAAATGGGAGAAATTTAAAGCATGTGTAGATACTAGCAAACTTGTTTCCAGTAATAGTCTTCTACATTTGGTATGCAATAAAATACATTGTTTGTTTTTTTCTCGTCACAGAATCAAGACTTATTCACAATGGGACATATCTTACTCCATGCTTTGTAGCTGATTTGGAACTTACCTCCTGGTGATAAAAGGACTTCCTGAGGAGGGCACAGAGTGGGAGAACAGCGTGTCATTCATGCTGGTTACAGGTCTGGGAGGCCTAAAACAAAGTAAGTACAGTGTGTGTGGAAAGTTAAAGCAAAGGAAAGACACAAATTAAAAACGACCTATTATATCTTGAGGAAAAAGAATAGGAAGAGCAGACCCAGAATCCCCTTACCCAGGATCAATGTGAAAGTGTATATACTCTTGTCAAGTTACATTTCCTCAAGAATAGAGAGGCTTAGTTAGACACTGGACGAAAAGCTCTGGAGAACACGAGAATATTGATCTAGGAGTGTTGAGTCTTGGTGTTTCTTGAGTCAAGTTTTTGAATGGATAAAGGATTTTGAAGATGATATCCATATTTCTATTATTTTCTAAAGGGAAAAGTTTGGCAAACAAGATTTTCAAAATCTACATGGTTTGGCAAGGGGAGGATTTCTTGAGAACCCCTTCTGTGTAATCAGAATGGTGGTACTCTAACATTTCTGCAAGGACACAGCACAAAGACAGAGGCTGGAACACTATCTTGCCTTATTGCTCTTTATTCTCAGTGAAGATGCAAGGAAGCAGTATATTTCTACTATTTGGTTGAATATATGACATAAGACAATGTACAAACTTCACTTTGTTCATATGAGATTGCCATGTGTATCCATTGCATTGTGTCTGACTTCCCCAGTCTTCATTTCATCCTCTCAAACTTCAGTTCATCCTGAATATCCTAGTTTAGATAAAACTAGAGAGCCAAGATCCCTACGTATCTCATCTTCAAGCAGTGTTCAGTTTTAGGTTCAATGGAAGGTTCAGAAAGGTACGATAAGAAATTAGAGTTCAGAAGAGAAGGACAAGACAGAGCATCTTCCTGCATCAGAGAAAATGTTAGTTTCACTGTGATTCTGTTGAAAATGTTCCAATCTTGGTTTATCTCTAGGAAATCAGAAATTAAGTGGGTTTGAAATGCTTTCCAGCTGAATTGGGAATTTCCTCTATTGAACCTGACCACTGCAAAGCTGAAATGGAGGTTTCTTAGCAAATGGCTTTGTGTTGAACTTGGGCCACAAAATGACTAGTCTTGGCACCCAATACTAGCTTTCTCCATAATCAAATGGCAAGTCACCTTGTCTAATCAAATAGGCTACTCTAGGGATACTAAATGTATTTACTCTAACAAAAAGAAACAGCTCTAGGAGACTCAGTCACAAGAGCCTAGTATGGAATTTTCTTTCTGGATCAGATCTTTCTTTCTGGACTGGAAATCACTCAACCATAAAATAAAGTTTTCATCATTTCTTACAGGCTGAAAAAGTTAAGCTCAAGACAGGATAGTTTTAACTAGCCTCATATTTTGTTTCTCAGATCAGTTATACTTATGATTCTGTTTTATAAGTACGTGGGGGACTATTGAACTACTTACCAAGTATCACTTTTGGCAGCAAAAAACAAAAATGAACAGAGTAGAGACTGTTGTTAATCATGGCAACATTTAGAAGCAATACAATAATGAAGAACAAATGCCAGCATACAAAAATGTCACCACCTGCTTATTCCTATTTAAGGAATCATTCATGAGTAGCAGTACCTTCAATGCTTGTACATAAAATCCCCTGGCTCTAGTAAGTTATGTGTCACATGATTCATTTCCATATGCAAATCTGTGTAAGTGTCTGAGATAGTACCACAACCTGTCTCTTTTTACTAAATCTAAGACTTCTTGGAAAATGTTAGTTTAATTATGCAGCCAGCCAGCCATTTTCTTTTCTTTTCTTTGCCATTTTTTTCACACTAAATACTTGGAACTGGAGTCTTACACAATACAAATATTTTCTGATTTATTATGCACTGATCAAGCATGAGCTATACATCTTTGTCTCAATTTATACCTTTTTCCCTTATAAGGATTTTTCCCACTGATTAGATTGGACATACGTACTGGAGAACTCATTTCAATTTTTTAATACAACCACAAACCCAGTGAGACATATGTGTTTAAAAAGATTGTATCATTTTCAGCATCTCATTCCAAACACACAGGCTGCATAATGTTAACTATATTTCAGCACTGCATAAGGACTTGCAATTACCCTTCAGGTAAACATGTGAAACATGTGATTCCTTTCTGAACAGCATCTTTGAAGAATTTGCACTAATTTGCAAATTGTCTCTCTCCCTACTTCTCTCCCCACTTCTTTCCCCTCTCCCTCCTGAGCACATAATAAGGAAAGGTCATGTAAGGATCTATCTAGAGGCTGACCATCTGCAAATACAATTTTAAAAATGGTGAAATAGCTTAGGATAAAAGGACTTGCCATAGAATGTCATGTATTTTTATAAAATATATGAAAATTATACCTACATACATTGGGAAGAGGTGAAAATATTCAATAATTTCAAGTACTTGGCCAATATAGCAGACTAAAAGGATCTTCTTTGTCAAAGATTAAAACATACATTATTTATATTGTCATTTAAGAGGCATTTATTTATGTCCTAAGAATAGCCTACAAAGGGTAAATTAGAAGCATGGCTTCAAATTGAAAGTCTTAGACTACCCTTTGTCTCTTTCCCCAATAATGGCTTGCATACCTGCTAAAAAATACCTACAAACAGAAAAGAAACTCTGTTCTAATACAGACGGGACATTCTTCATCCAGAATTTCTTGACTGTTGTTTTAATAAATATGTCAGATCATTTTTATTATGAGCAAAACATTTGCCCTCGCAGATTGTATAGATTATTTTGATTGAAAACTCCTTGGGGAGGCTGGCTAAATATACAGTAATTTTCTTTCAAGAAAAGGCAGATATTATATACAGAATCCTGAAATATCTCCATGGAACACAAACGAAGGCTCTATTGTGGGGACTCAGGGAGTCCTCCAGGGTTAGAGCATCCATTGAGCAAGCACAAGCCCTGGATTCATTTGCTGCTCCCACCAGCTTATTGTGGAAATAAATATTGCTTTTAGTTAACTCAGTTCATAATGCATAAGATCATATTTCCCTAATAAATTAAATTGTATAAATTTTTTACTTAGCCAAGTAAACAGAATATACATACTCACTGAAATTTACTTTTCTTACATATAGACTCACACACACAGACACAAACACACAGAAACTGACTTTTATTCACAGTGCCTCCTTTCCTAAATCCTTCTAGAAGAGGGGCGCAGCATTCTTATTCTGTCTACTTCAATGCCGTTGGCACACAGCCGCTCTTACCCACGCTGTTTCTGCCCAGCAACTTAGACTTGAGGCTGCCTTTATATGTAACTCTTACTGGGATGGTAGGAAGTGACTGGGCAGAACTTTCACAGTAGAGGCTTACTCTCATTCTTTCTTTTCCTTTGCTACCAAGTTAGTGACTGTCTCTAGTAGACTATGTGAAGAAAAGCGGAGACCTTATTACCAACAGCTCCTGTGAAGCAATTTCTGTGAATAGTTGACCTTTTAGGATATTCCCTAGATTTACTTGTTTATTTTCAGGAACATTATTTCCTGTTAAGGAAATGAGTTAATCGCATTCTATAGAATTGATTTGTAGATTATTTTCCGGATGTTTGGCCTAGGCCAGCATGCCACTTGAGATAGGAGCGCTGTTTTCTGTGCCTTATTGATAGAGTCAGGAATGCCTTAAAGCACACACAGGAGCAACGAACACAGGGCCCTGTAGTATTTAAGCAAAGCACACAGATGAGATGCAAACCCAATGATGTGATGGTATTTGCTCAGACCCATCAGGGGAAAGAATTACTACTATCTGGGTGCCTGTTAAGAGACCGTGTTATGTTCTCCCTATCATATGAACTTCGAATCCATGAATTACTGATATTGGAAACTCATCAGCTCATACATGTAAAAATACGGTGTTGCACATTGGTGGGTCCCAATAAACTAGGGGGGAAGAAAAGATGGCTCTTAAAGGAGGAATGGGAGGAAGCACCCATACTAGAGGCTTGCAGAGAACTTGTGATGATATTATTCCTAACTGTACTGTAATCAGCTTCATTTTTGTTTGAGCCCACATTCACATTAAAGGAGAGGACATTTCTTCTACCCAAACCTTTTGCTGTCTTGGTGAGGTCTGAGACAGGTCTAGAGCTCAACGATGGTAGGAAATGGCAGGTTGATAATTGTACTATTCACTTGTCCAGCCTTTCTATCCACCAAATGCACAAGTAGATAAGTTTTTGATCTCCTTCTTCAACTTTCCTATTTATAGACTATACATTTTTAGAAGATAGGAATCCAGGCACTAAAAAACTCAAAAGCAATATGTAGATTAGCTGGCATCATTACCATGACTGACTATGCTGAGAAATGAAACAAATGGTTGTTAAAATTTGAGCTGAAAGTACATACGATACTAACATACATTATGCGATTACTTTTTTAAACAATGGTAATTCCATTGATGGTTTACTTCCATCTGTGCAAATTCTACTAACATTCATATTTTATAACTTTTTAAAATTTTTGAATAAGCTTTTTGAATATTTTCTATCTCTTGGTGAATTCTGTTAGTGTTTTACTTTATAAGTAAAGGTAGAAAGACTGAGGGAAAAATGACAATCGTATTGCTTTATTTAAAAAAATAAAACTAAAAAACGTGGTCTCTGACAAGTTATGTAAAATTGTCTTGTATGAATTGCTTGGGACATGCGTCAGGGAAAAAAGATGTATCTTCCTTTTGGTATGGAGATACTCACACGATGTGAGCCAAGTTGAGCGGCTTCTCAGGTTGGTCTGGAAACATGGGGTGCAAAGGTTCACGGCTGGAAGCGCAACTCAGGGACTTGCTTAATGCATTCGTTAACTTCTTAGCAGGTGATTTCTGGGAAGAAAAAGAATAGGTAGATGTGATAACGGCTAATCATGCTGTGATAATCTATCAGATGGTTTACTTTTTTCTTTTTTAAAACAGCTATTCACTCATTCATTCACCCATTCAAGAACTCCTTTTCTAGCATATACATACTCTAAGTCAGAAAGTTTGCTCAAGGCTGGGGCCAGGATACCTACCTCCTTCACTTAGTGTCACCAACTGTGAAAAACGAAAGCAGCCATTGCACATGGGACACTTAACCTGGGACTTAATGGGCCACTAGAATCCTTCTGACAGAAACCAAGGGTACTGAGTTCTAGTCACTTGGGGAAGTAATTTCAGATGGGAGAAACAGAAACTGCTGAGGGAGGAATAGAGAGGAGATCTTGTTCTGGAAATGAAAGTGGGAGAGAGGTCACCAAAGTCCTTATATGACAGGGCAGGGTTGGCAAAAAGGACACAATCTGGATTAAATCACAGGGATGACAAGAGGAGACCTAGTTCTGGAGGGACTGGCTTGGGTAGAGGGATGCTCAGAAGCAAAGAGAGGATCAGAAGGATTTACAGAAATCCAACAATCAAAGAGGTCTCTGGTGTGGCCCAATACATCACATTAGAAGTAAAACTGGAACTTCAAACTTCATCTTTTGAGTCTGAAATCCACATTCTTTGCAGCATGTCATACTACTGCTTTTCTTTGTTGCTGTTATATATCTTCATAGGATAACATCAAAATTGAAAGAATAGAATAATATCAGATCACTACATCTATATAGTGAATCCATATTTTCCTCTCCATTAAGTAGCAGTGTACATAGCCAGACGCCGGTGATCTGTGCCTGTAATCCTAGCTACTCAGGAGGCTGAGATCTGAGGATCACGGTTCAAAGCCAGCCCAGGCAGGAAAGTCCATGAGACTCTTATCTCTAATTAACCACTAGAAAACTGGAAGTGGCACTGTGGCTCAAGTGGTAGAGTGCTAGCCTTGAGCTGAAGAGCTCAGGGACAGTTCCCATGCTCTGTCATGTCAAGCTCCACAACCGACCAAAAACAATAAAGAAAGCAGTGTATAATTTTGTCATTACCTTTTATGCCTGGGGTTCATACTTGGTAGTATAATATCTTTTGTCCTTGTTATTTAAAAGCTTTGAAATAGGAGCCTGTTTAAGACGTCCCCTTGGCGAGCTGAGGGCATGACTCAAGTGGTAAAGCACTTGCCTAACATGTGTGAGGCCCCGAGTTCAATCCCCAGGACTACCAAACACAACAAAACCACCATCACCACCAAAAGCAAAAATTCAAACCAACAAATAAAAAATCCTAATTCCCCGTTGGCTACTGTTAGAAAGTGTAATTCTTATGACATTTTAATCAGCAGCAGCAACAGTGCCTTACTCTGAAACTACTAAGCCCCTTTGTCTTCTTGCAGAGTCTGACTCAACTTTGTAAAGACATCCTCCTGTTATGGGCTTTTAGAACTCACACTCCTTAGGTGAATGCAGTGTTTGAACAGATCAACTAAAGATGATTGATCAGCATCAATCTTCCTCCATCTCTTTTCTCCTCCTCCCCCCCTTTTGGCACCAGACTCTCACTGTGTAGCCCATCCATATTGGCCTCACAATCTTCTGGCCTCTGCTTCTAGACTGCTGGGATTATAACCCTGAACTATGTCCAGATTTTTTTAAAGGACACTAAGTATCCCTTTAAGTAAAGGCTACAGGTTGAATTGAAATAACAATACACTTAACAAAAAGCCATAACAACTTTATATTTTCGTGTGCTAGAATTATCTTAAGATGAGCTGACAGGCATTGGTGGTTCACACCTGTAATCCAAGCTATTCAGGAGGCTGAGATTGGAGAATCACAGTTCACAGCCAGCCTGGGCAGGAAAGTCTGTGAGACTTGTCTCCAATTAACCACCAGAAAAGCAGAAATGAAGCAGTGGTTCAAAGCAGTAGAGCATCAGCCTTGAACAAAAAGCTCAGGGACAGCTCCCAGGCTTTGAGTTCAGGCCCTGTGACTGAGAACAACAAAATACCAACAATACCAACAACAACAACAACAACTACTACTAAACCAAATCCCTGCACAGAACAATAGTTGAACAAATGTGTAAGAGCTACATTGCTAGGACTTGTCTTTGAATTTAATGAGGTCAGAAAGTCACAAACTACTGAAAGCACAAATACACCAAGATCAGATTCCTTCTTTTTTCTTTGATTTTTTTTATTGTGAAAATATCGTACAACGGGGTTACAATTACATGAGCAAGATAGTAAGTACATTTCTTATCAGGCATTGTTGCCTCCTCCTTTGTTTCCCCTTCCCATCCCTTCCCATCTCTCCCTTCACCTTGCACCAAAGTTCTAAAGTTCGTTTTTTGACATAACCTCTTGTACATCTCATTGTTGCAATTGGTCCACTTGTATCTCTATTTAAACAATTTGTTTTTTTCCCTTCCCCTCAACAAATTATACCAACATCAAATACAGTGAAAGAAGACGTTATACTGTGGGGGAGGGACATACAAAGCAACAAAGAAATCATCTTATAAATATGTTAGAAACAATAGCAAGAAAGAAAAACCATTTGAGTCCTTATCTTAGGGGTACTCCTGGACAAATGTCTATCAACTTTATCAAGCTGATAACATGCTGTTCCCAAAAAGCCAATTTGCTAATATGACCACAATTCCTCCTCTTCATTCTCTGAACTAAGTATAACAGAACTCTTATACTTCTGTCCTTAGTATGTCAGCCATACTCTTACAAGAATTCAAGGAAGGGGGGCTGGGAAGGTGGCTCAGTGGTAGAGCGCTTGCCTTGCATGCCTGAGGCCCTGGGTTCGATTCCTTAGCAACACATAAGCAAAAAGAAAAAGCTGGAAGTGGTGCTGTGTCTCAAGTGGTAGAGCGCTCGCCTTGAGCTGAAGAGCTGAGGGACAGCGCCCAGGCCCAGGGTTCAAGCCCCATGACCGACAAAAAAAAAAAAAAAGCATTCAAGGATCTGTGAAAAATGAAACAATATTTCCAGCAACTTCCACAACAAAACAAAACTTGGAAAATTCTTTAACTTACTGTGAAAATAAGCCTATGTACCCAAAGTTGTTGTGGTTCATTATTTAAGTCAATACAGACTGGTCTATGTGTCAAGCACAGTTTTAATCTTCCTATATTTTAAGTCTCAGGAAGCTACTTTGAACTCAGGTGGTACAAGTAAAGGAGCCAAATGGATGGAAGATGACAGGGAAGACATGTTAGACTCAGAGTGAAAGTGAAGTTTGTCCCTTAATTGTCACCATCCTTGAAACTCCCTTGCACACACCCAATTTTAAATATTACCCAGCGTCACTTACCCATGATGTGTACTCTTTCATTTGGTGCTGGTTGCTATGGGAACCTCCTGCATGCCCCCTCCAGAAGCAGTCCTGACAGAGCTGGTAATTGTGACATTGTTGGCATCGGTAGCGAAATCCCATCATACTTTCACTGTGGCAGTAAGAACACTCAACTGGGTGGAAGACTAGAAAATGGAAAAAACAAAACAAAACAAGAGAACAAAGTATGAGCCAGAAGAAGAAAAAAGGCAGCCTAGAAAGAACTAGAGCTTTCTGCTACGTTCTATGAAATTCAAACCATAGATAATTTTGGCCTAGAGAAGCCTTTAGTTTGTTCCTGGAACCTCACCAGCATGTCTTTTCCAGCATGCACATCAGGATGAAAGAAATGAAACAGGATGGGGTGTGCTTTTAACAGCACGTATCTCTGTAAGGTCACTTGGTAATTCAGGTCCCACTACAAGAATATAAGTTATCTAACCTGACTTGCCTTTCCTTCAAACGCATTCTCTCTCTTGGACCAGCGCTGGTCACTAAAGACTCAGAAGCATGATGGAAGAGTTATCCAGAGTAAATTTGAATACAATGTAAAAATGTCAGGAAGATGCAGAGAAACTGGATGAGAGAATTGAAATATCATTATTTAAAGTGGAGTGGCTATAGTTTATTTAATGAGTAACTCTGGTTTCATCTCACCTCTATGCTTTTTTTTTCCTTTCCGAAACAAAAGGAAGGGGGCCCTAAAATACATGTATATCATCTGAACACTGTTCTAATCCAGAGAGTTCTGGCACACAATTTTCTTCAGCAAAATATTAGGATTATAAAGCAGGCAAGGTAAAACATTTGATATTGGAAGCTAATAAGTGAACAGGCAGTTTCGCATGTTGTGAGCTAAAGATTGTAAAACAATTACTATAACCATTCTTGCCTTTGGTAAAATTCAGGAAAAATAATGTGACTGAGAGTCCATGGAGTTAAGAAAGCAAGTGTAAAAGCAAGACCACAGCTGGTTCTGGTGCATTGTCTTACTGAACAAGCACAGCAAATTCTCCTTCTTGGCTATTGATAAAGACAAGGCTGGAACACCATCTTTCACAACTGGAAATTCCAAGAGAGCAGGAATGCAATTATGGCTTTCTGACTCGAGAATGACTAGTCCTGGACTGGTAGACAGCTGCCAAAAGCCATGTAACACATCCTGTTCATCTACATTGCACATTGTTTTTGCATATGGATAAGAAATATTTTTTAAAAGCCTGTGGCTATTAGTAGCTGTGAAGAAACCAGTTAATCCGTTCTTTCAATTGTGTTCATTAGCCAAACAGGACTCAGTCAAAACTCTGAATTAAGAGAGATAATAAAGGTAGAAGATTTCTAAATGAGTTCAAAGTAAAACAAACTTGAGTCTTAGTGTACAGTAAGGACATCTTAGATCCTAAAATTCTAATAAGAGACATATGATAAAATATTTTTTTAAATTCAAGTCCTCGTTTTGTCATGGTTCTATAAGACTTTATTAACAGGTGGGAAACAGGTTAGATCTATCCTCAGTAAAGTAAGAACCATAAATTAGACTCCCTCAAACTCTGATATGGATTTCATATCTGCAGATACTGCGGTCTAATTTCAATAATTCAAAAACTGCCTTCACTGACTAGCAACTACTCACCATTTTCAACATTTGCCAGACGGTGCAGGAGAGGCAACCAGACCAGACACTGTGGGGGAGGGTCTGACATCAGTGTGTCTAAGAAACCATTCAATGTGACTTTTTTCTGAAAAAAAAAAGAATCATTACAAAAATTTAGGACAGTCTCACCAAAAAAAACCAAAATTCTGACCCTTAAGAGAATGTCAGTAATTCTTTTAACGTTTTGTTTTTTTAAATAACACTAAAATTTAAAAAATCTTTTTTATAAAGCCTTCCTCTCACTTCAATCTGCTTCTAGCTATTCATCTTGATGCTTTCTGATATAGAAAAGGAATGTGTTATGTTTCTTTTTAAAATGACCAAAAAAGTGTTACATTTAATGTATGCATCATATCAGTATAAATAACAAAAATTACATGTTCAGATGTAGAAATCACTACTTTAATTGAACTAGAGCATCAAAGTGGATGGATAGACTGCCATGCCTGGCTCGTGACTTTTATTTTGAAATGTATAAATAACCTCATCATTAAGGTTATATGCATGATGATGTAAGGGGACAGTCTACAGGATATTGGAGAAAAGAGGTTTTAACAGAGTAACAAACTTCTTTTTTGAATGTACAGATTCATTAAATTAAAAGAAAATCAAGGCAGAGAGAAAAATACTGAATGAGGTCACCATATGGACGATAAGCAGTGGATTTGAGAGATCATAGAACAATGGTTCTCAGGGGCTGGAAGGGTAGGGAGGAGGAGGGATCATGGGTGTCAAACTTAGGTAGAGAGAACACAAATTTCATAGAGAAGTTTCTGAAAGAGTAACATGTTGGGGCATGAATGCATAAGAAGATAGCGTCCTTGGGACATGGGGGAGCAAGAGAATAGGGGGTTAGAAAGCACTTCCTCCGCTGAGATAACACAGAAATAGAGTTCGTATTTGGTGCAGCAAACTATGTCTTCTTTTCCAATCTTTTGGGCACTTTTACTTTTAAGTTCTTGATCACAGGGAGACCTGCTGTGGCTTTGGCTCCCAGAGCACCAAGTAAGCAATCTGATGGTATTTCCTAGCTGGGAAATCAGCGTGTTGTTTTCCTTCTTTGTCCTTTCCCTTCTCTGCCCTTTCCTTTCCAATCTTTTCTTCCTTCTTTTCTTTCCTTTTCCTTTTTCTTTTTTGTATATGTTTATCCTGGGGCTTAAACTCAGGGCCTGGGTGCTGTACCTGAGCTTTTGTACTACTACTTGAGCTATAGCGTTACTTCTGGCTTTTTGTGGTTAATTGGAGTTAAGAGTTTCTTGGACCAGGCTGGCTTTGAACTATGAACCTCAGATTTCAGTCTCTTAAATAGCTCAGACTACAAGTGAGCCAGCAACACCCAGCTGATTTCTTTTTCGTTTATTTATTTTTATATTTTACTTGCATTTTTTTTTTAATTTCAGGAGTCTCTTTAGGGATGTGATTTTTTTTTTTTTTGGTTGGTTGTGGGGCTTGAACTCTGAGCGTGGGCGCTGTCCCTGAGCTCTTCAGTTCAAGGCGAGCACTCTACTGCTTGAGCCACAGTGCCACTTGCAGTTTTCTAGTGGTTTATTGGAGATAAGAGTCTCACAGAGTTTCCTGCCCAGGCTGGCTTTGAACCACAATCCTCAGATCTCAGCCTTCTTGAGTAGCTAGGATTACAGGTATGAGCCACCAGAGCCTGGCAGGGATGTAATTTTTTTGTGTGATTTTTATTTCAGTGGACTTTTTATAGAGCATAATTGGTTTATTGTTGCTAAAAGCTAGCTCATGTGTAAACTTTTTTTTTTCAGCAGTTGGGTTTAAACTCAGGATCTTATAAGTACTCTACCACTTGAGCTGAACACTGCTACCGTTTTTGTTTTGTGTTTTTGCTTTAGTTTGTCTTTTCAATATGGTGTCGTGTTTGTTTTGCCCAAGTTGGCCTCAAACAACTATTTTCCTGTTTCCACCTCTGGAACAACTGGGGTTAACCTTTCCTTTGTGTCACATTTGGTTAAAACACAGCATTGGGAACCTTAAAGATATTATGCTGGGCTGGGAAGGTGGCTCAGTGGTAGAGCGCTTGCCTTGCATGCCTGAGGCCCTGGGTTCAATTCCTCAGCACCACATAAGCAAAAAGAAAAAAGCCGGAAGTGGCGCTGTGGCTCAAGTGGTAGAGTGCTAGCCTTGAGCTGAAGAGCTGAGGGATAGAGCCCAGGCCTAGAGTTCAGGCCCCACGAACTGACCCCCCCAAAAAATATATTATGCCAAGGCAGACGTATTTGTCATAATTTGAGTAACCTAAATCACAATGGTATGCAGGGGTGACTCCTTTCTCCTCTCTTTTTCTGAATACTGCTAATGTTTGATGCTGAGTTAGACACATGTTTCATATAGGACTGAATTTAAAAAAATTAGCCCTTTGGATAGTACAGTAATGATAATAATGATAATACTGAAAGTGCAGTATATGGTAAGGATTAAATTAGGCAACAGAAGTAATTTGTACAGTACCTGCCTAAAGGCCAGTGAATGCCAGCTATGATTATTATCCAGATGTGTTAGTTACAGCTCAGAGGCCATTTGTCAAAAGCTGGGTATTGTCATAAAGAAGCATTGGTCCAGACATCTGTGACTGGAAATGACACACATAAGGGGAATAACAACTGTTTGAGAGATACTTTCTCTAAAATGTTACCTGTTGTGAAAAACAAGATCTAGCTGATTGTTCTGTGTAACCAAATGAGGGACCTTCAAAAACTGCTGTGGGTAGCTTGAGAACTTCCCGAAGGAACTGGTCATATCGCCCATAAACCATCACACCACTGGAGTCAGAAATCATTGAGAAAATATCTAAGAGAAGGGAAAGAATGAAGACATTTGTTTGTCACTTGAACATTCTATAGTTTCAGTATAACATATCTGCTGCAAATAAGAAATGTGACAGAATAGATACGATTTTTTTGTGAAAGAATAATAGGAAAGCTAATTTTTATATTGAAATATTCATAACATGGCACTTTCTCTAGTATCTTTTTTTGTAGATGATTTTAACACATAGCACATTGGGTAAAATTGGGTGATTTTAGCACATAGCACATTGGGTAAAATTAACATATTTTGATAAGAAAGAAAACATTATGCTTTTCCTCTGAGGTCAAATGATCAACTCATACATAGCTTAATTGTTAATTTTGATGCCATTTGAATAGACACTAGAGAATTTCATTGCAAAGGGAGAGAGAGAGTGAGAGAGAGAGTGTGTGTGTCTATCTGTGAATCTGATTAGCAAGTGGAACATCTATATTATTACTAAAACTATTGTGTTTTGGTTTCTGGTATTTATAAAGGGAAAGATTCAGTAGGGATAAAGTTGTCATAAAAACACTTGATTAACTTCCCACAGAAGCATGAAACTTTCCATAAATCAGTGTTCAGGGCATAAACATTTGGTTTATGAGGAAGGATCTTCAGACATGTGTGGTGAAGAGGAAGCTTGGCCTTGTGGGTAATCAATGAAGTACAGTCACGGTTGAATTATTCTCCAAAGTGTTCTTCGATTCACTGAATCTCTGACCTTCCATTTCTGCCCTTAATCAATGTTAATGGCATCATTTCCCAAGATGCTTCGTGATGCTCTTTGGAAATAACTATTAAAATGAAAGGATTTGTTATTGGTTTAACCAGATTGCTGTTAGTCCAACACAACAACTGGTATCAACTCTCAGTAAGAACAATGTGCTACCTTTGTTCATTTTGGGGTTCACTTTTTTTTTTTGGCCGTGGGGCTTGAACTCTGGGCCTGGGCACTATCCCTCAGTTCTTCAGCTTAAGGCAAATGCTCTACCACTTGAGCCACAGTGCCACTTCCGGTTTTCTGAATAGTTTATTGGAGATAAGAATCTCATGGAGTTTCCTGCTTGGGCTGGCTTTGATCCAACATTCTCAGATCTCAGCCTTCTGAGTAGCTAGGATTACAGGCGTCTGCCACCAATGCCTAACGAAGTTCACTTTTTAAGGTCAAAATGTAATTGAAGATACTGCCATGTAAACTAAAAAAAAAAAATTTCTCTGGTCCACTTTAGCAATGTTATTTATTTTGTGAATTTTATCTTGTGTCCCATGAAAGCTAGTCAAAAAATAGACAAAAAAGAAGTTATCAGTAGCAAAATCTATTGTATAATCTCAGAGATAAAACTGAAGAATCCTATCACGAGAGAAAAAAAGAAACCTCAGCAAAGGGAACTTTTTTTAATTTAATTTTATTGTCAAGGTAATGTACAAAGCTGTTATGGTTACATATGCAAGACAGGGAGTACATTTCTTGCTAAACTTATTACTCCCTCCCTCATTTTTCTCCCACTTTCCCTTCCCTCAACCTCCTCCCACCAATGTATAGTTCATTACCAACATATTGTCTTAGAGTATCGCTGTTTCCTTGGTTTACCCATCCTTTGTCTCACCATTTTGTTGGGAACTAACTTTTTTTTTTTAATGAGAGCTGCCATCTTGTTTGCTTTTTTGGCAAGATGGCTGGTTATAATAAGGTCACCCAGACTATCTTCTAAGCATTACTTTTTCCATCCAAGCCACATTCCCAAACAGGAGCTGGTAAAAAGATTTTGGCAACATCTCTAATTTGTATAAGTAATTCCAATGGTGATCTTCCACACAGTTGAAGCTAATTTTAACTTCTTTTGTGTTGAGGAAGGACTGCTAAGCAATAGAAAAAAAAGGGCTGGACCACTGAGATTAACTGGAAGTGGCTGTTAAAAGCCAATATAGATGGGTATGTGTATGCATATGTGTGTGCATGTGTATGTATAGTAGAGGATGATTTCAAAGGTTAAATTAGTTACTAGAAGTAAAATACTCAGAATGATCCTGGGCATACAGAGTATAGTATAGACACTTCAGATATTTATTATTAATTTCATATTACTATTAGTCTGTTAGTGATTTAGGCTTTCCTTCCCTAATGGAGTTTTCTATAGGGTTCTAAATCATTTTCTAAACCTACAGAAGTATACAATGGTAGATACTTTATTCAGTGATGACTAATCTGGCATGCACTAAATGAAACTATGCTAAGCAATAAGTGCATAGGAAAACAAGGGTATTATTCTTGTCCTCTGCAGGCTTCCATGTACTGAGGGCAAAAGTCTGGGTGTGGATAGAGCACAATAATATCCTGGTTTGAGTGCCAGATGAGTTGGATAGATAGGGTACAGCAAGAACACAGAGAAGATTACTGAGGAGAGAGGAGTGAGTCAGGACCAAGTGTAAAGGCCATGAGTGAACAGCAAAGGTGAAGGGAACAGGCCTTACAATAGACCAGGCAAAAAGTAGAGTGTTAAGGATAATAAACTGGAGGATCTTCAAGTAGTGCACTGTGGCAAGGACTTATGGGGCATACCAGGGCCTGGTAGGAAGTGAGGCTGAAATACGAAGAGCTTTCAAAACTCTGCTAAGGAGTTTAGATTAAATCTGGAGGTTGATAAGGAACTGAGGGAGAATTAAAAGCATGCCAGTGAGTTAGAAATACTGTTTTAAACAAGTATTCCAATCCATTAAAGTAGTAGTTCCTAATCAGTTGGAAAAGAATTAAACAGAAAAGGAGTGCATTAGGCCATTTCTGTTTAAATGGACAAGTCAGAAGCCTCCAGGGGGCGCCAATTTCCCTGTAAGCTGGGTCAAGGATTCCCCAAAGAGCTATCCAGTAAAGTAGTTGTCTCTTTCATAAATTTATTTTAAAGCATTAAAATATCAACTTTGACTTTTCTGTTTTCTCCTTTTCTGCTTTTAAAAATTTCAGCCAATCATTCTTGCTGATATTCTCTCTGCTCTGTTCTCTCCAACAAAAAAGAGGCTAGTTAGAACAAATTAAATATCCTTCATCCGTAAGCACAAAACTAGAGGAAAAAAAAAAAAACTACGCCAAATAAGCACATCTGACTTAAAGTGAATTAAAAATTTTTTATGTAAGGGAAAATAAAACTATCAAACCTTGAAATATTCCATATCCTTTCATTTTCCTTGTTCTTATTACAAAAGTAATGCAGAAAATCATGACCTTGCCTGCCTGATTGTTGAAACGAAGGCCAGCAAAAAGAACACAATTGAAAATACCCACAATCCCTCTTACCAAGAGGCAGCGCTTGCTGTCTGTGAGTGGATTTGTCCCATAGTTGTTCATCCCGTCAGTCATTACCATTCAAACTAGAAATATTGGTGGTGAAGGATATTCATTTTTAACAAATTGACCTTTTGTTGAGATTCCCCAAGCCAAACTGATTTCAGTTATTACTTGTGGTTAAATTGCTTTCAACCAAGTTACCCAGAAGCCACTAAAGCCAGCTTTCTGGGACAATCTATGAGAAGGTAGTCCTTCAGTCAGAGAATTAGGGACATGTAATTTAGGTCTGCTTCTACCAGAGAGAGGAACATGCTGTATCAGGATCATATCATTGGTATGGAATTTGTCAGAGGGAGATCCTTGTCTCTCCAGTAGGGTTTTGTCCTGCCTGCTTCCATTGCAGTCCTGAAGATGACTGACTGGCTTGGCCCATGGAGAGCAGGCCTGCTTTGCCCATTCGGTACTTTGGGAGAAAACTCTAGAGCAGTTACACTGTTTCCTTTGAACTCCTGGACTTCTAGGAGGACTGTGGAGGTTCTGATAAGGGGTAAAGATCTGCTCACAATCACCTTGAACTTCTGTAACTGTGTCAGCATTGTTAGTTGCTTGCCTAACAACATTTCCCTTTGTTTTGGCCCCACCTTTGTTCCTGGAGTAAAGGAAGAGTCTAGGGCATGGAAGGGGCTTACACAGGCCTGCTGTGGTCAGTCATGCCTTTCTTCCTCCCAGTAACTATTTTCATCATTGGTCCAAACTAGGTAAGTGGTCTTAGAGGAGAATGATACGAAAGCCTTGGAAGTTCTGGGCTGTCCAGACCCAGGATCCAGGAGATGGATGATGTCTGATCAGAGGAAGGATAAGAACCTGGTCTCCCTGAGCTTATCTACTATGTGAAAGGCTTCGAGGGGGTCTCATGCTTAGAAGACTGGTTTTCTTTTCTTTTCTTTTTTTTAAAGACTGGTTTTCTTAAAATCCATCTTCATCCCATTTCTTTTAATAGTAAGAACTCTCTTACCGAATAGTAGGGATGTTCCTATTAATATAATAGTGCAAACATATACACTATGGAAATGTTTCTTTTTTTCATGTTTATCTATGTCCCCCAGGGTTTCTTGCTCTGATCTGCTTCATTATGGGGAAAGTTCTCTGCCCAGCCTAAGTGAAGACAGTGACTCCTGATTCACTCCAAAGCTACTTTGCTAACAACAACAACAACAACAAACCTTTGGTTCCAGCACCTTCTAATTTAGTTATTTTTTTCAATTAAGCACTCAGGTAGATAGGTTTATCCCTCCCTCCCTTCCCCCCTCCCTCCTTCCCTTCTCTC